TGAGACCAGTATCTCCGAATCATATAGAGAAGCTCTTGTGTTGTATCAAAGGAAATTCCATAGCCTTTGTGGTATACTTCCATCCCCCCGATCACATTGTTTGGTCAGTTCGTCCCCTGGTCCAATCGTTTGAGATCCTCGACCATTTGACCAATCCTACCGTCACGCCGTACTGTGCATCGTCACGCCTCGTACCGTCCATCGTCACGCCTCGTACTGTCTATCGTCACGCCTCGTACCGTCCATCGTCACGCCCGTACTGTCTCTCGATACGTTCATACCATCACTCATCCCGCGTGTACTGTCCCACGTTCCATTCCAACCCGTGGTCCGAAAGCCTGAGTTCCTCGGCTGTCCGACCCATAACCCTCGTCCCACTCAACCACTCATCTGGTGCTTGTATCATCTTTGTGATCATAACTTGATCACATGACACTGAGAGACAGCAAAACAATCTCTTATACCAAAACCTCAGAAGCTAATTTGAATATGTTGGGATATCAATCCAAGTTCCACATCGAAAGGTAAAACAATAATGGTTTAATTTATAAGTAATATCAACTCTGATCAGTATGAGGTCTTTTGGTAGGAGTTGAAAGATAAATCCTTGCGGGCTTTATCACTTGGACCTAAAGCAGACAATATCATATTAATAGAGGAGTTCGACATAGGCTTAAAAATCCAACAATTGGTATCAGAGCCAAAGTTCAGAAAAGGTAGACTTTAGGAAGTGGGTGTTGGGTATGTTCGTTGTTCGAGGAGATCCCTCAAGGTGACCTTGTGATTAAGGGTATTGGTGTTTTGTGTCGAAAGTCTTTCTAATGATATTGCAAGGGTTAGGTGAAGAGTTCCATTGGTGCATACATGATAGGTATGTAGTTTTACCCAATTTAAATCAATACTGCAAGTGCACAGCAAAGCAGTTGAAGTATAAAAGTTTATCGAATCCCAAGAGAGTAGACTACTACACTACATATTTTAAATTCAAATTATACTAAGTCGAATCAATAAGATGTAGATCGAAATAACTAAACAAAACAGTAGCAGGTGATTGATTGAATGTTCGTAAGATTTAAGAGACTATAAACGTTAGGCAATGGGTAATTTGCATGTTGAAAACGAGAATGCTGAATGTATACTGTCAGGATATTATTTAAAACCGTCTAGAACTCATGTGCAGCCAAATGCTAGGCAATGGGTAATTCGCATGTTGAAAACAAGAATCTCTCTAGACGTGGTCTCTCTCTCTCTAGGTTTCGGATCCCGGATTGCGTATTGCAGATCCTCTTTCCTTTGGTTTTGAGCTCCCTTTTATACTCCCTTCTCCTTGACAAGTCTCATCAACGCGGTGCACAGCGGGAGCAGGTTGGACAGTACAGCACACGTGGTTTGGTAAGCCTGCTATCTGCTCGGGAACAGTTTGCTAGGAAACCTTTGGCAGGTCTATGTGAAAAAGTCAACGCTCAGGTGGAGTCCAATGACCATGTGTCGTCTCAAGAGTGGTTATAGTAAATAGGATTCAACAGTGATATTAATAAATAATATATAATTATTTCATATTTTTGTAACTTTATTTCAAAAAATTTAGTACTTGATAGCAAATAACATTTTTTGAGAAATAAAAAATTTAAGGACATATAATGTTTTTATTTAGATAAAAAAATATATGCATACAGAATTTCAGATAACTAAAAAAATATAATATTAAAAAAAATAACTTTGTCATATAAAAAATTGATAAAATTTAAAAAAGCTCTAGGAAACTCAAATGATTTGTTTTTTAAAGAACAAGTAGTCAAAGAATTCAAGTTTTATAATTATGATCTCAATTAAAGTAAACTAAAAGTGTCTTATATTCTTGTGTTATTCTATTCAAAGAAGGATTGATATGGATCAAGTTAGTATGTTATTTTTTTTGTTAAATTAGAAAACAAAGTTTCGGATGAATCAATTCAATGAATATTGCGATGGTGTAACGAAATCATTTTGGCTTGTGATGAGTCATATGGAATTTGCCTCCCAAATTGATGAATCATTTACCTTCATGCCTTAGGAAAAAGAAATCTTCAAAACAAAAATGAAGAAAAATCACAAACCCCCATGGACAACCCTATTTAGGCGCGGACCAGTCCGTTTCACATTTCTACCCACAATACAACGCTTTCTCTCCCTCTTGCTATATAATATATATAACCTAATGAAGTAATTTTCAAATACTTCACTTCTCGAACTGCAAGATATGTAAAGTATGTTGAATTATCTGCGAAGATATATAAACTGTATGTTAAATTTAATTGAAAGATATACAATGGATTCACAAAGAAATTTGAGGGGAAAGCTTTTAAAAATCATTACTGAGTTTCTTTCATGATATCTCCTGTAAAATGTTTTTCAATGCTTTTCAGCCTTGAAGAAAGACAATATGTAGGTGGTATTACTACGTCTGGTTTGACATCAAGTATGGCATGATCTCATGTGCAGGTGCAAACATTTTATTCGATTCTCAAGTTTCATTTTTCGTGATCCATTTGCTGTTCTGTCTAATTTAAAAATTCCATTTGGTATCTTTATTTGACTGGGGATATAGGCTTAGACAGTGTTAGGCTAAATTAGGCTTTTTGATAAAGATTTTCACTTTTACATTCATTAATTAACTAGTTTTATCTTAGCAATTGAACAGATTTCTATGTAATACTTCTGTTTCTTCTATATCAAATACTCACCAAACCGGTTTAGTGATTTACTCATCTAACTATTTGATCTTCATGATCAAGATCTTTTCCAAGAAGAGCAAGCTAGTCGAAACGAGTTGTAAAATCTTGAAAATATTCGTCAATGGTTTTTGTACCTTTGGTCCAATGCTTCAATTGTTGTTTCAGTTGCTTCAGGGAGCTACGGCTTGGTTTGGCGTAGGTGGATAAGAAAGTATTCCAGATCTCGGCTGCAGTGGTGGTGGCTGAGAGCAATGGTTGGAGCGTTGTGGTGATAGCTCCTAAGAGGCTGCTATAGAGAAGCTTATCTTGTCTTTTCCAGAACGTGTAGGCTGGATTTAAGATATCACCAGTAGCAGTGGTGATCGTAGGAGAGGGAATAATGACAGATCCGTCTAAGTACCCGGTGAGATCGTATCCATCGAGAAGGGCGTGAACTTGTCGACACCACATGATAAAGTTAGAAGCAGTGAGCTTTGTAACATTTGTCATATTTACATTCAAAAGAGTTTGAGTGTCGGAGACAACAACAGTCTCGTTAGAAGTGGCCGATGAATGAGACAAGATGAAAAAAATTAAGAAGCGGCCAAAAGTAAGAAGAAAAATTTAGAGGTTTAGGTATTGAAACTCTAATACCATATAGGAAGAGCTTGAATGAATTGTAGGCTGGATTTAAGATATCACCAGTAGCAGTGGTGATCGTAGTAGAGGGAATAATGACAGATCCGTCTAAGTACCCGGCAAGATCGTATCCATCGACGAGAAGGGCGTGAACTTGTCGACGCCACATGATGAAGTTAGAAGCGGTGAGCTTCGTAACATTTGTCATATTTACATTCAAAAGAGTTTGAGTGTCGGAGACAACAACAGTCTCGTTAGAAGTGGCCGATGAATGAGACAAGATGAAAAAAATTAAGAAGCGGCTAAAAATAAGAAGAAAAATTTAGAAATTTAGGTATTGAAACTCTAATACCATATAGGAAGAGCTTGAATCAATTGTATTTGTTATATTGATTCACGTTCTGTACATTATAATTTATACAAAGAGGAAGAAGACAATAAGGAAAAGCTATTATATTATACACTTAATGGTTAAGCAATCAACAAATGATTCAGTAATCTTAGGGATTGCATATCCATTCCCATTGCTACTTGTCAACATGGTTCTTCGGGACCGATGTTTGGTAGGTACAATTACACAATTTCCATCATCCGTATCCTTGGTTAAGTGGAGTCATTCAATTCAAGTTCCTTTGGTTGAATGTGAATATGACAAATGTTAAGCTCATCCGTATCAGTACGGCTTCAACTGGTGACCAAGGGAATGAGGGAGAATAATAAATTCCTCTTCATTCCTTAAAATTTTTATCATTTGTTAGTAATAATATTTCCCCATCATTCTTTCTTATTCCTTATTATATAAGGAATTATAGAACAAATGTATTCCTTATTAATCTTGGGGAAAAACAAAATATATATATTTACTTCCTTATATATTTTTCATTCCTATTCATTTTTTTTCTTTTGTTCCTTTCATTTTTTTTCTTTTCATTCATGTTCCTTTTTTATTGGTCACCAGTTAAAGTCTACAAATTAGAAGCAATTTCCATCATCTCTATAATATTATTTGAGAAATAGAGAAGTCGTTTTTTCAAACAATCGAAAAAATCAATGTATTTATGCTGAATGCCACTCAGTTATTGACTAAAATGTTTTTGCTAACAAGTGTAGTAGAGGTTAAAACTGACATAAGATACTGAGTCAACTCAGTAGTTCGACTCGACCCGACCGGAGACCCATTTCAAAAGACGCGGATCCTATTGAGTCACTTAAATCAAACCAAGCTTGAATTAGAAAATTTCATTGGCCTCCTCGATTTGCAACTTCTTTTATTCACCTGTTTCAGAAACGGAAAATTAAATAACAATTGGAACGGATATCGCGGAAAATATCATAACCAAGCAAATATGGAAATCTCGAACTAATTGCTTATGCATAACAAATATATTAATATTTAACGGGCTAATCAACAATCTTGCCTAATAAGATTGTGAATATCATTAAAAATCTTAAGCAGTTACCAACTAATTGAATATCTTTAAATAAAATTCTTGAATGTCAATCTTTTTAAATATACCGTAATCTTTTTGAAACACTATAAAAAAAAACCATTAGCATGATAGAAAACATACTTCAAAGCAATTTATCTTAAAGCATCCTTAGAGCTTTGTCAAATCGGAAAAATTGATGCACTTCTTCCTATTCTCTATCTAAAAGACTTCAAGTCTTTCATAAAAGCTTGGAGCATTCTAGCTCATGTCCTCCAAACATAGAAGAGGAAAGGTAAGAGTCTATTCTAATCAAACAGCATCACTGCTTCTATAATATTCTCTATTATCTACCGATTTGACGTATTAAAATTTACAATGTCTACATAGATTAACAACTCTGAATCTAGCAGTGACAATACTTTGTCACGGTTGATATTGAGGAAGCAATGAAAAACGGGCAAGTAAGTCTCATAACTCATTTATAATCATGAATCTTAGATATTAATTTTCTTTTAATGAAAAGAGCAGCTTACTCTAAGCTTAACGGAATTGGAACAGAGTATTAACATCATAGCAAAGAGAATGAGTTCTCTCATTGCTTTTTCTTACCTTTCCGATGCCAAGCATTTAAAACATAGAGATTGCGGTTAAAAGTCCTCCGGTCAAGGAAGCAATAGAAGGCAGTCTGGTGAGTAACAAGAGCTGATTCTTGCTCATGAATCTGTAAGTGAAATTTGTCACGATGTTAAGACATGATCAGTTTACATGTTCATTATACTTGCGGACTAACTAAGCTATTTTAAAGTTGCAGCATGTCATGATACATGCTCATGTAATAAGGGCAAGAAAAAATACATGCTTGATACTTAGTTGTAAAATACAATTATCTACGATTAGTTAGATAATAGCCCTTTCCAAAAAGTTCTATTTCACCGAGGTTCTATTGTTATCTACGATTCAAAGGTTAGTCCTACTTCATATAATTATTATTACAATGCCAAGTAAGAAAATATATTTTTGCACAGGAAGTATGAAACAGTAAAAATACAAAGAAGTTAGACCTGGCAACCAGCTGCCCTGAAGGAGCTAAAATCATGAGATCCAACAATAACTCTGCATGACTATGGTCCTTAGAGAAGGGCTAAGGAGTTATCTTTAAAGGAGAAATAAAAAAAATTGGATCACGCTGCTGATGTTGACCATAGTAACGGAAAAGCTGCTCAAAATACAAGTACTTGAACCTGCATAGAGCGAGGATGGATAAAGGATCCAGCCCCCTTTAGTAAGCAGTAGATCTCTAGAATAATAGAATCTTAGCCTTTCTAATGAGTGATGTATAGAGAATACCTACGTGCGCTCCTGGGCCTTATATTTGGCATGATAATTATTTGGAACACACCGAACATCAATCACCACAACATCACCGTCATTCCTCTGGTGAATTTAACCATCATTTGCAAGTTGACAGTTTTTTCTTCTGCAAACACCACACAAATAAACTGAATCTCAACTTTTTCATATTACAAAACGTTCCCACAGTGATTTTGCCATTTCAAGCATCAAAAAACAAAAAAAAAACAAAGCTTATTTGCAAATCTAATTAAGACAAGCTACTTATGTAGTCTAACAAACTAAAACATAATGTTCATGCAATCAGATACATCGGCAATCCCAAATCAAAATTAAATTGCCTACTTGACGGTATCAAACTGCAAACACACTAAAGCCCAGAAATTTACCTAAAGGAAGGCGGAATTCTCAATTGGGTTTTCTCAATTTCCTCTAAATTGTCCTTGGGGCCTAAGATCTGAATCAAAATGCAACAGAAGAAACAAACACACGATCAGATTCCAGATCAACCATTGAAAAAGATGGACGATGAAGAGGAACATAGAGTAGCGATTCACAGAAACTCATGAGGAGCGAGAGCGCGATCGAAGGAGGCACGAAGCCGACACACTTCCATGGAGCTCTGAAACCTTTCTGGCCTTCTCTTGGAGACGATTTTGATCCTGTCAAAGAGATTGCTTGAGATAACGAAGAGTTTGCAGAGATGGAGTAAGTAGAAAGAGAAGTAGAAGACCTTTTTTTTTCGTGTGTGCAAGACAAGTAGAGGAGTTATGTGTAGAACAATCGACTTATCAACTCTTTTTTATTTAACAAATAATTAATATTTAAAATCCAAAACATAGTCAAATTTTGATTTTATATAACCATAAATAGTTAATTTAATATTAAAAGTTTACTTCAACTAACATAAAATTAACTATCACAACCATAACAAATCAAATATTACATTTATGTTTCTAACCCTAAATCAGACAACTACGGAATTGAAAAAATCAATCAATTCCGACATTTTAAAATTTTATAAAAATTATTCTCACGCATAGAAGAGACTAAATCCTATAGAGAATATGTGTAGTTCTTTAACTATACTACGCTTTTAACTCGCGCTACACGCGAGTCTGTATTAATAATTTAGTTTAATTTTTGGCTAATATTTTTTAAATTATCAAAATTATAATATATTTATGGAAATTTTCTTTTATATAAAAAATAAAACATAATATGTAGTATTTCCTATTTTTGTTTATAAAATTATAAATCTTATTAAGTAAAATCATAGTAATGACACCTGACGAATTATCCAACTTTGATGTGCATATGTTTGATTTAGAAAATGATTTCCTTACTAATTTTTTGGTGTATTATTTTGTATCCTTAGGATTTCTATGGTTCTTTTTTTTAAAAAGATTTATATGTTAAAATATTTAGTTCATTTACTAAATGTATCACTAATGTTGTGTACATATACATATATAATATATGATATATGTTGATTCAGATTTACTTTTGTTAGTAAGCTACACTAATCGTGTAAAGCTGTTTTTTGCTTCTCCACCAGATTTTCTACGAATTTTAAGTTATATCTATATTCAGTTTATAAGATCTGTTTTATTTGCAGTCAACTATTTGCTAATATTTGTTTTTAAACATGTAAGATAATGTTGAGACTTCACATTATCACTGTTTTTTTATTTTTTGTGTGTTTATTCATGTTTTGATTTGAATATTTTATCTTCATATATTCTCATTTGAATTTGATTCATAACTTTGTCATATTATATTATTTAAATAAAATTTTAGAGGATGTTGCTCATGTGTTGTTCATGTTGACTAAGTTATAAGCAGTAAATATGTATACAAATCAGACTTTATTACTTATTATATTTTGAATGTAAAGTTACTTGTGTAGTATTTTATTTTGTTAATTTTTCAACCAGATGCAACCAAGGTATTAATCTTTGTAAATTTAAATAATATATTTGATTTAGAAACTTGTATAACCTATTAAAACTTTATATGGTTATTCATAGTCAACACCAATATTTTAGAAATCATGAATGTTTTTGAAACTATATTTCAAACTAATTTTCTTCTTAGATCTTGTTTTTTATTATTTTAAATATCTTCATTGGTAATTTTATATTTTATTTTAATTATCTTATTTTCTGCAGGTTTGATATACTTAAAACATGTATATTTTTAATTAATATCTTTTGTTATTGATTTTTCAAATATGTAGAGTATATAATAATCTAATATATTTTACATAAATGCTTTTTCTTTTTTAAATTTACTTTTTAAATTAATTAAAATACTATTTTGACATGCTATAACTGGTTATTCTAAATTTTACGTGAACTTCTCTCAAAAGCTTATACCATCATTTGCTTTTTTTAGTTAATATTTGTTTGGTAGTTAGCCTAAATATCAAGCTAATTTTACTTTATACGACTTTTTCCCTTGATAATTTACCTCTCTTGATATTGATTTTTATTTTATTTTAACACACCATTGTTTTTAAAATATTGATATTTTGAAGACATAAATTTTTTGTTAGTCAAATATTTGTATATGAATTTTTAAAGTAGTTAGTCAGATATCAAGTCAATATATTTTTAAATATTTTTTTTAAATAATATTTTGTAAAACTTAATTTTTGCTTTAATTTTTTAGTTAATTAATTTCTTAATATTTATTTTTAAAAATAATTAGCTTAAATATTTATACATTTTTGTTAGTTAAGTTTTTTTAGTATTATTTAGGTTTTTTTATTCTCTTACTTACTCTGTTTATATTGATTTTGTTAAATAAATAACATAGATATTAAGTTAATATCCTCTTTTTTTGTTAATTTAACTTTCGCGATATGGGCTTTCATTTTAATTGTATTGACATGTTATAAGAAATAATTTATGTTTTGGTTTTTGCTAGTTAAACATTTTTTTATATTGATTTCTTCAGTAATTAGCATAAAGTATCATTTTTTAAATATTTCCCCAAAAATTATAAGTTTTAGATGACTTTCTTTTTTGATAATTTAAGATGAATGTTTTTTTTGGTAGTATTGATATTTTTAAATAACAATTTTATATGTTTATATGAAAATTTAATCTTAATATTTTTTCTAAATAAATTACTCATTTAAAATATATATGCTAATTTTTTTTAATTTAACTTTTTCGGTATTGATTTACATATTTGTTTTTGTTAGTTTAGTTTTTTGTGACAATGAGTTTCTATTTTATTTTCATAATATATTTAGACTTTTGATATCAATTTATTTTATTTAGTTAAAAAAAATTATGCTAATTTTTCATTGTATTGTGATAATTTTATATTTTTGTATGTTTTAATTTATTTAAATTATTAATTATATTTTTTATGTTTTATGTTTAATGAAAAACGCTGATATAAACTAATCAGATTGAGTATGTATGTCATATGTGGACGCTCTCATTGATCTAAGCCATCAACACGGACCACAACTAATATATTTTAAGTTAGCAGTTCAGATTTTAATTGTTTGTCATGATTAAAATTTTAAAATAATTTAATTATGGTTTTAAATACAGTTTTTAATAATTTTGTTCAATATATATAATTTTTCTTTCATAATATATTTATATGTTAATTTACCTTTTTATTGTTAATAGAAAAATAAGATTTATTTTCAAAACTCTTTTTTTATTATTATCTAACTTAAAATTTAGAAACTTTCCTAATAACAACAAAAACAAAATTAATTAAAATTTAGAAATTTTTCTTATAATAATTAAAACGAATTAATTAATTCTAATATATAATATATAATTTACTAAAAATAATGATGATGTGTACCAATAGAATTGAATCTTTAAATCCTATGTGAACACTCTTAGAGGCATTTAGCATCAACTTTTATTAGTAATAGATAACTTTGTGCATCGAACAGACTAATAAACAAGTTTTTTAGAAATATTATTATTTAAATTAAAACATATATGAATAAAACTATAGATAATTATAACCAAATCAAATATAGTTCTAATATAAAAAATATATAATTATGTGTATATATATAACTAACTCATACATAATAGGTTTTTTTAAATTAGATTGTTAATATTATAGCACACAATCTTTTTTATAAAGAAAATTATATATTATTATCATATAACATTTATAACAAACTAAAACACAAAACTAAAATATTAGAGCAAATATATTTTGAATTCAATATTTATATAATCTAAATATCAATATTTATTTTCTTATATTTCATAAAATATATATTTCTTATAAATTAACTCTTCACATTAAACAACTTAGAGAGAGCTATAAAATAAGTATTATTTAAGAATATCATAAAAAGATATGCAACAGACGAGCTGAATAAACCTTTAAACGATGTTAATGCTAAGTTTTTAATTTATAGTTTTTCTAGATATTATTTTAGCGAAATTATAATTAATAAAATTTTGGTTGGATTTGTTTTATAATTGCTTTTTTAAATATAATGTTCAAAAAAAAATCCTGTTGATAAAAAAAAATCGTAAATCAAAATTCTACATGATAAATCAAATGTAATGTGACAGTTTTGACGAGATGAATTTTGGTAAAAAAAATACATAACTCCATTCATTAACTTAACTTACTCAAATATAGCTGCATTTTTTCGGGTTGTATAGATATATTATAAAAATTATTTATATCTCCATTTTATATTTGTAGATTGCTTTTAATTTCAAAAAAAAAAAAATTAGAAACGATATGGGATAAATTAAAAAAATTATATTTAATGGGTTTAAAATATAGAAATGAAAACAAATAATTTACAATTTAGTAACATATATAATACATGTATACCAAAAATAAAATTTAATGGGTTTGTATATTATAAATAAAAATATAATAAATCTATATCAAAATAATACATCACATATAAAAATGTATATCTCTGGCAAATTGAAATTGAGAATCGGAATAGAATGTAATGAGAAGATATTGACGAGATTAAAAATTGATTAAAAAATAAATAACTCTATTTATAAACCTAAGTAACTCAAATGTAGTTATACTTATAAATTGTATGGACACATTATACAAAATAAAAATATAGTAAATCTAATATAGAATTGTATTTTTTATATGAAATCAAAATTTGAGATTAATGGGATGATTTTGACGAGATAAATTTTTGACAAAAAAAAAATTATGTTCATTAACCTAACTAACTTAAATATAGCAGGATTTTTGGGTTGAATCAATAATATAAAAATAAAAAAAATTAAATATAGTAATTCGTCTTCATGGTAGGTTAAAATTTAGTAATGTATAACAAAAATAAAACTGAATGGTTTCTATTAACAAAAAATACAATACATCTATAGCAAAATAAATATTTCATATAAAAAATTATTTATATAGGAAATCGAAATTTGAGATCAGAAGTATAATGTATTGGAACGATTTTGACAAGATAAAATTTTGGTAAAAAAGTACTTAACCTCTATTCGTAAACCTGTAACTAAAATATACCAAGATTTCCGGGTTGTATAGGTACATTATACAAATTATTTGTATCCATCAATTATATTTGTTGAATTTTTAAAATTTCTTACATAACTTCTTATTTTCTAACAATAACTAACAATAATTTTAATTTCATATTTTATTTTATATAATCAAATTATCAATATTTATTTTTCTTACATTTTATAAATATATTCAATTTCAAAATCAAACTCTGAACTATAACAAAATACAATCAACAACAAATACAATAATTATAAATACAAATTTACTAACTTAAAACAAATATCACACACAAACGAAACCAAAATACCATTCACAGATAATACAATATTCTCATTCCAACAAACAATTAAATCATATAACAAACATACCAACCAATATATTAATAATATAGATAAAACAAATTAAACTTTTAAATATAACATAAATTTAATAAATTTTTAGAAAATTGCCCCGCACATAGGGCGGGCTAAATCCTAGTCCGTATACAATTTCTATCATCTGCTTGATTTGATTGTGCGACAAGTACGAGGGTTGTTGTTACCTATCAAGAACCTAAATTTGTAGTGATAACGACTTAGTCTTTTGTTCTTTATATGTAATGACTCTACTTAAAAAAAAGAGTAGAAAATCCCAAAGAAGATCAAAAAATGCAGAAAGAGAAGCTAACAATAATGTTTATGACACAATGGTCGATTTATGTGTTTTTATTTGTTATCATGATTTTAAAAATCATATGAAAAGGAAAAAGACTTGGATCTTATTTTGTGTCAAGGTGATTGATGATCAAAGATTTTTGGATGCAGCGTATTTTGGAGACAAGAGATCAAGCGGCTCCAAACTGATTTCCCAACCACCATCGATTAATTATGTTAAAGCCATGGGTGGAAATTGTTTTAAAATTTTCTCTTGCACTTTTTAGGTGAATTAGATGATTATGGAAGATGATGGATTTAGCATGTAAACTATTGGTGCATACAATCAATCGTTTACCTTCCAAGCGTCCTAAAATTAATATTTTAAATAGTTTTACTGATCATGCAATTCTAACATATTTTTTAAAATAGAGTCTTTTAAAAATTCTAAAATTTATGTGTGAAATTGCTTTATGCTTTTATTGTATAATGCTATCAATTTATATTCTTTTTAGAATTTGGTGATCAAACTAGTTTAATATTAAACAACTTAAATAATGATAAACAATAATTTGATTTTTTTTTCATCTCACATATCTTACATACTTAAAACGTAAATACAGACAAATTAGCACGGAGTGCTCACGACTACCTTTACAGTTTAAATGATGTAAACTCAACTGCACTAGATTGATTATTTAAATTATTATAAGAATTTGAGGCTATTAACAAAAAAAAATAATGATAAAGAATTTTTATAAAAACAAAAACATTCTCTCGACATAACGCAGATATATATCTAGTGTTAATTAATATATGAAACAAAATTTACTCCAAAACTATTTCTTGCATGTATTTATGCATGTAAGTGTATTTCCATCTTCTCCCATATTTTTTTTAAAAAAATTCTAATTGGCTTTTACTCCATCACCAGGGGAAACTTTTGTACTACTAGGCTTTTAACTCACGCTATGCGCGAGTCAGTATTAATAATTTAATTTAGTTTTTTTTAGCTAGTATTTTTTAAATTATCAAAACTATAATATATTTATAAAAAATTAATTTTTATATAAAAAATAAAATATAATATGTAGTTTTACCTATTTTATTATAAAATTATAAATTGTATTAAGTAAAATCATAGTAATAACATCTAACGAATTATCCAACTTCGACATGCATACATTTGATGTAGAGAATAATTTCCTTACTAAGTTTTTGGTGTTTTATTTTGTGTCCTTAGGATTTCTATAGTTCTTCTTTTTAAGGTTTATATATTCAAATATGTAGTTTTTGATTAAATGTCTTACTGATATTGTGTACCTATTTATATATAATATATGTTTCATGTTGATTCGGATTTACTTTTGTTAGGATTCTTCAATAATCATGTAAAACTGCTTATTACTTCTCTACCAGATTTTCTATGAATTTTAGGTTATATCTATATTTAGTTTATAAGATCTATTTTTTTTTGCAGTCTACTATTTGATAGCTTTTTGTTTTTAAACATGTAAAATGGTGTGGAGTCTACACATTATCACTGTTTTTATCTTTTGTATGGTTTATTCATCTTTTGATTCGAATAGTTTATCTACATATATGCCAATTTGAATTTGAATAATAACTTTGTCATACTTTATTATTTCAAGGAAATTTTAGAAGATGTTACTCATGTGTTGTTCATATTGGCTAAGTTATAAGTAGAAACTATGTATAAATTAGTTGTTATATTTCAAATGTATAATTACTTGTGTAACATTTTTTTGTTAGTTTTTAAAGCAGACGCAGCCAAGGTATTAGTCATTGTAAATTTAAATAATATATTTTTTTTTAATTTAGAAACTTGTATAACCTAATGTAACTTTATATGGTTATTCATAGTCAATACCAATATTTTAAAAATCATGAATCTTTTAGAACTAAATTTCAAACTATTTTTCTTCGTAGATTTTGTTTTTTGACATTTTACTTATCTTTCGATGGTAATTTGTATTTTATTTTAATTTATCTAATTTTGTGCATCTATGTTGTATTTTTAAAAAATATATTTTTAATTAATCTCTTTTGTTATTGGTTTTCCAAATAGGTAGCATATATCAATTTAATCTCTTTTACATAATTCTTTTTTCTTTGTTAAATTTATTTTTACATTAATTTTTATTTTATTTTGACATGCTATAGCTGGGTATTCTAAATTTTATGTGGACTTCTCTCAAAAGCTTACACCATCATTTGCTTTTTTTTTTAGTTAGCTTTTAATGTTGGTTTTCCAAAATATTAACCTAAATATCAAGCTAAGTTTTCTTTATACAGCTTTTTCCTTTGATAATTTACCTCTCTTGATATTGATTTTTATTTTATTTAAACACATATTTATTTTGTAAATATTGATATTTTTGAAGACATAACTTTATTTTTTATTTTTTTGTTAGTTAAATATTTTGATACTGATTACTTAAGTATTTAGTCAGATATCAGGTCAATTTCCTTTTAGGTGATTTTTTAAAAATTTAGCATTTTCTAAAACTTAATTTTTATTTTATTTTTCTTTGTTAACTAATTTTTTAATATTAATTTTTTAAAAATAATTATCTTAAATATTTAATTTCTTTTTGTTAGTAAAGTCTTTAGTATTACTTAAGTTTTTTTTTATTTTCTTATTTATTTTTTTATATTCATTTGTTAAATAAAAAATAGTATAGATATCAAGTTAATGTCCTCCTTTATTTGTAAAATTTAACTTTTTCGATATGAATTTTCATTTTAATTGTATTGACACATTGCAAAAAATAATTTAGTTTTGGTTTTTTTGTTAGTTGATTTTTTTTGGTTAGTTCAGTTTTTTGTGTTGATTTTCTAAATAATTTGGCTAACTATCAAGTTTCAGATGAGCTTTTCTTTTGTTAATTTAACATCAA